ATGTCGAGTCTATCAAATGGATCACAGGGGAAATCTAAATGATCAATGTAAATATCTGTTTATTTCCTGTGTCACGTGTCCTTTCGAATGTATGTTTGCAGATTAAAGTTGAAACAAATTAAAACAGAGAGAGGAATTACTGCCATTGAAGATTTTATTAAGATACCAACAGTTATAAAATACATGTTGTCGTATAAATTACAATCGAGATTACAATCGCGGTTGAGCAAGGTCCTTGGTATTTTATTTATCCTTGTTAATAGTTCGCGAGAGTTCTACAAGGTATAAAATATAAGCGATTTAAAATTGAATTTCTTAAGGTTGCCTAAGGCAAATTCTTATGTAAACGTTTCTTTTTCTTTTTTCTTTTTTGTTAGAATTATTTACTTACGATATCGAATTAGAATTTAAATTATTAATTTAAGCTCAAGGGTAATTTAATCTTTTCTTAATCAATAGAAGATATCGATCGAATGCAGTGACAGATTCTAGTTATACATTATAGAAGAATGTTCTTCCAGTCGCCGAAATAGCTCAGTTGGGAGAGCGTTAGACTGAAGATCTAAATGTCCCTGGTTCGATCCCGGGTTTCGGCAGGCACTTTTTTTTTTTTCATTTCACCATATTACTTCCAGACACATCCAGAAACTGAAAAATCACTTTCAACGTCATTCTTTTAATTTATTTCAAATATTTTTAAGTGGCAATATTGTCGTAGATTTGTATATTTATTTCTATGTTTATTGATATTACTGAATGATAAGTTCATAATACGAATTTCATAACCTACCTTTTGAAGAAATGATACAAAAATTATTTACATATATCTACATTCGAATACTTTTACGAGTTTTTAGAAAAAAAATTAGGTTTTACGCAAAAGTAATAAACGATTGATTGTGGTTGTTCCTTAAGAAGATGTAAATGAAATTATTTACTCGAGTGTTTGGCAGTCTTCTCGTTATGACAAAGAAATAACAATAGGAAGTAATACATTGTATTTTGTTACAGAATCATGCTCAGGAATATATCGAAAATGGCGTATCTCGAAGTAATCCTGTTTTTATGTAAGTACACGATCTTCCTCCTGATTCAATATCAGTCCTTTTTTAGTTTACGTTACACAAATATTACTTTGGCGTTTCATTCAATGTCGAAACACGGGAAACGAATATCATTTTTCCAATCTTTGTTTCTTTTTCTCTCTTTCACTGTGATGTGGACGCTTACGTGTGGACTCGGTTTTTCAGGTTCAGTGGTCGCTTTCATGGTCAGCAATTGTGAAGCCGAGGTGACTACGATTGTTAATTAAACAATTTCTACCAGAAACGGTGCAAAACAGAGATATTATGAAAACGAGTCACAAAATATATGTCAGAGAAGATGCAAAATTACATTTCTCGTAAAATGTAGTTAATTGCCACTTGACAAGTGTCAAACGAGATCTAACCTAATTATTCCAATTACACTCTGATCCAGTGGTGGCCTAACCAAACTTTTGTACCCTCCTCTTTTTCTTTCAAGCGAGCTCCGACGCAACACTAAATTATTTTAACGGCAAAGCCGTGTTTATAAATACATATTTATAATTTATAAACATATTTATAAACGTGCAAATATGGTATAATGGTAAACATATTTATAAATAGTAAATATATTAAGTATTAGAGTAAGATATTATTATTATTTGTTAGAATAATAGTAATAAATTTAAAGATATTAATAAATAGTAATAATAGTAATAAAATTAAGATATTATTATTATTATTGTCATTTGTTAGAATAATAATGTAATGAATAAATAATAATAATCAATTTAGAAATATTTAATATTTTATATTGAATATTTACATATTTTAAATATATATTATTTATGTATTTTATTGTATATATATATATATATATTATACATATTTATATACAATTTTAATTATTTATTAGTGTAAATAATAACAACAATAATAATAATAATTTATTACTCATGTTTAATATTTATATACAATTTTAATTATTTATTAGAGTAAATAATAATAGTAATAGCTTACTCCAATATTTTTATTCTAAATAACTTGGCTCTATGCGCCACTAGAAATCATGAAATGCACCATTAGCGGCACACAGTGGTTGGCCATCGCTGGTCTAATGGCCACGTGCCCTGGGATACTTAATCACATTGCTTGAATTGCTTTCACTTGCAGCCAGAGGCTAGTAACGAGAAGGCAAATCTGCCGAAACTCTCGTTGGGCTTGTCGAGCATAGAGGCATCGATAGAGAACGAGGAGTCATTGAGGAGAATAGTGAAGAGGCTGGCACCGGAGAAGAATGGCGAGTACCAAATTTATCAAGGTTCCTAAGCCAATTCATACTATCTCTTACTCACACGCCGAGACTAACTCTAACTCATTTTCAACCGTACTGAACCTTAACTGCGTCCCATCTCTAAAACATCATCTTTCGCGTTTCTTTCCCAGTCTTCTTCGGCAATGTGGACCTTCTCAAGGAATGGCTCAAAGGAGCGGGTATTATTAATAACAATAACACCGCATAAGTATACCAGCCGCTTTCTCCTCCAGCTTCCTTTTCATCACTTCGAAGTAGAATAAAGCGCATGCGTCTGGCCGACAGGTTCTTTTGATACCGATCGACCGATCGGTGGATCACCAGGAAATCGATATCGGCTCGGTGAAAAAAAGGAAAAAAGGGAGTTCCCTGCTTGGAAAATTTCTAACAACTCCAAGAGTGCATGTCGTTAACTTGCATGTCGCGATTAACCAATGCTTGACTTTTTAGATGTTACATTGAAATTAACAATAAACTCCTAGAATGTTACATCGTGCACGCGAGACAAAGAAATACAGATAAATTTCGTTCTGGGAGATTGGAACGGTGGGCGGATTTTTAGAGAGAAGTGCGGGACGATAGTAATCGCGCAATGAAAAAAGAAAAGAAAGGAGAAAAACGTGCTCTTGTAATTTAGGCGTGACAGGACAGCCGGGTGTGGACTTTCCAGCCCTGACGACGATCCCAGCCACTTCGTTCAGCTGTCGCGGTCTGAAAGGTGGTTACTACGCGGACTTGGAGACGAATTGTCAAGTAAGTAGCAAAATGAAACGGCTTAATACACATCTTGCCGCAAACGTAATTACTTTAATCAAACGGCATTCGGGTTTCAGCGTTGCGACACCGCGGCGCACCGCCTCTCCGTTCCGCGACAACGTAATCGAGCGAGAACCCGACGAATAGAAAAAAAGTTTAAAATTTTTGAAACTTTCTCCTACATCAGAGTAGAGGACAAAGCCTTTTATTAACGTCGAATTAATACAAAGAGAGAAATTAGATCGGCTGTTTTAAACTACTGTCATGGTTAACTAATAAACGAGCCATTTATTTTGAAAGTGGCCTAAATCCATTTTCAAAAAAAAAAAAAATTATCTTTTTAAACAAATTGTAAATAATATATTGGAATAATATCTTGGATATTTTTTTAATTTTATTAAGACAAAATTGTACATATATATTTTTTTATTTTAAGATAATTTTATTTTCTTCAAGAGATTTATGCCTTTTTAAAAATTAAAAAAATTATTTCATTAATTTCGAAAGTGGCCTAAGTCCATTTTTTAAAAAAAGAAAAACAATTATCTTTTCATTTTTAAACAAATTGTAAATAATATATTTGAATGATATCTTGGATATGTTTTAATTTTATAACACAAAATTGTACATATATATATATATATATATTTTTTTTTTTATTTTAAGGTAATTTTATTTTCTTCAAGAGATTCATGCCTTTTTAAAAATTAAAAAAATTATTTCATTAATTTCGAAAGTGGCCTAAGTCCATTTTTTAAAAAAAGAAAAACAATTATCTTTTCATTTTTAAACAAATTGTAAATAATATATTTGAATGATATCTTGGATATGTTTTAATTTTATAACACAAAATTGTACATATATATATATATATATTTTTTTTTATTTTAAGGTAATTTTATTTTCTTCAAGAGATTCATGCCTTTTTAAAAATTAAAAAAGTTATTTCATTAATTTCGAAAGTGGCCTAAGTCCATTTAAGACCATCGAAACGATTATTTTTATCACACTGAATTGGGTTGATAAATTATACACCCTTAGAAACACAGAAACATTATACTATGTGTATTGATATTTTTAAATTTATTAAATACCTCGATTCAAAAAATGGACTCTGACCAGTTTCAAAAAATGAATTCTCTCTCTTTCTCTTTTAACAGTCATCGATACTTCTCTGTTCAGGTGTTCCACATTTGCGACAACGGACGAAAGATCTCGTTCCTCTGCCCGAACGGCACGATCTTCCAACAGTCGCAGCTGATTTGCGATTGGTGGTTCAAGGTGGACTGCAGCAAGTCCACGGAGCTGTACGAGCAAAGTAGCGAGCAACTGTTGGAGGAGGAGCGACGGCGAGCCGAGTCGCGGAAATCGAGATTGGATTATCAACAGTCGATCGAGTCTGGCGGTCAGCAGGACTACTACGACGTTCAGAGTCTCAGCTACGACGGCAAGCAGAACGGGAGGATCAAACCGTACGAGGAGCGAACGCAGGAGAACCAAGTGCAATCGAACAGAGAGAGGATCAAATCCTCCCGATACTTCGACTCTTCGAATAACTTCAATAGCCAAGAGTCGAGCTCGCGAGAGAGGGACGGCGATCAAACGTCATTCACCGCGAGTGGGATTCAACGAAAGCAGCAGCAGTTCAATCAATTCGCGTCAAGGAACACAGAGGACGAGGTGAACGTGAACAGGCATTCGACGACGAGCGGCAGTCAGCAGTCAGATTACTACAGCACACCGAAGAAAGCTCAGACTTACCACGTCACCAACAGAAACTCGAACAGCCAACGAGACGACAAGGGCGCTTTGAAGAGGTTGAAGTTCAAAGGCCAGAGCAGAGGTAACCTCACGTCGCAGAGAGTCACGCCAGCTTACACAGAGTCGACGACGTTCAGGGGAGGCAACACCAGCCCCGTGAAGGAGTCGCAGCAGTTCGCGGAGAGCGCCGCGTTCGTTAGTAATCGTGGCAATCGGTTCAACGAGAACACCGGTAACACGCATCAGTATTACTATCAATTGTACATCAATCGCGATCCAACTACGAGGAGTCCTGCCTATGACTCGACCACGACCACGACCACGTGGAGACGGGGGAACAACGAGAACGACGTGTCCACGCAGAGGAACGACTACTCGTTCTTCACGGACACGGGGTCCACTTATTACGAGACGACCACGCAATATTCGACTCCTGAACCGTGCAACGACGAGCTCACGACGGACAATAGTCCCCCGAGCCATACGTCTACCTACGTCGATACTCAACCGACCACTGAATCACTTCTGTTTGCCAATAGTAACTACGAGTACCGTGGAAGCCTGAGGACCACCGGGACTAACCTTCGGAGCAGTTTCGTTAATAAGAGTTATTACAACAGTAATAACAATAGTAACAGGGAGAGCAGCAGAGCGACTGTCGCGAGTAACGCAGGAACGATTCCGCCAACGACTCGTTCCTACGTGACCACGGACGCCTATCGTCAGAACACCATCACCCCGAGCACTTCCTCGCAGCAAAGGTACACCGCGAACTATGTTTCTGGCACGCCGACCGCATCCTTTCGCGGCAGCAACAGCTTTGGACGCAGTACGGAGAAACCAACAACGACCCGAGCGACTACGACCGACGCGTTGAAACTGACCAGCAAGAGTCCAGTCACAGTCTCGCCGGGTTATCGGCAAAATTCGATCGGCACGATCGCCGATAGCGGCCAGTCGAAGAGATTGAACGTTGACACGAAACTGACCAGCAAAAATCCAAGCACAGTCTCGCCGGTAGTCTATCGGCAGAACTCGATCACCACGAGCACGGAGAAGCCTTCTCGAAGCACGGCGGCTTATCAACCGAACACCGTCACCGAGAAAGATTTGAGTCCCTACGACAGAAGCTTCACGTACAAACAGGGCAAAGTGATGTCCACCCTGGGTCCTTACGTGCCGTTTACGAGGAACTACGCGCAGCAAACGTCCAGCGGTGCTGCGAAGCCGACTCCGTACACGGCCACGGTGCCCACTTTCACGACGAGTTACAGCTCTTCGGGGACGAGGGCTGTGACGCCGAAGTTGAAATATCCCACGCCAACGTCGTTGGGTAAGATCAAGTCGAGGGTTTCCGAGAGGGAGCACGCGCTGAGTATGCTGCACTCTCTGAAGAGTCTCGAGCACACGGTGCCGAGTTTGTCAGACGTGTTTAGGGGGAACGAGAGAGTGTCGAACGTTTCCGCTCCTCCGGCTGCTTCGACGTTGCACTCCTTGGCGCTCTATTTCTCCACGGCCACGGAGAACTTCGATTCGAACGAAACGACGGACTCGTCGGTCAGCGTGGAGTCGGTTAACGCGGAGGCACTGTCGAAGAGGAGCAACGGGACGGTCCAGGTGCCGACCAGTCTTTTAACTAGGCACACCGTCGACTCATACGCGAAACTGTTCAAGCTGAGCAACGATGATGTGGAGACGAACAACGTGACGACGGAGGATCGCTCGGACAATTCCTCCAGCGAGGATGACAGCTCGGAGGACGATTTGGAGCTTCAACAAAGCGGCGGCTCGTTGGACGATCTTCGAAGGTCGAACAGCACCAGGCTGCGAGAGTTGGCCCAGGTGTTCACGCACGCTCTGTCCGCTTACTTGTTGGACCCGGACTCGTTCAAGAGGGTGCTGACAGAGATCAGACCGACCGAGCCGTCGAGAACCACGGAGGAGAGCGGGGATTCGTGGAGGACTACAACTCTGTATCCGACAACCGGAGAAGACGAGGAGAACACCTCCTCGACCAAGGAGAAGGACGAGGTCTTAGACTTCTCTGACGATGGCAACGACGTCAGACAGAAATTAACCACCGTTTATCCCACCACCTACGAACCGCCCACCACCACCGTTCAAGAAAGCGTCTACGACACGCTCAGTACGTTACCGAGCACTTACTACGTTACAACTCCCAGAGTGTCTTCATCTCAAGACGCGCTCGAGTACAGTACGAACCCTGTGACGAACGCGTACCTCGAGACCTCCGAGCCTCCCACGGAGAGCACGTCCACGTTGGAGCCGAACAGCACGCCGTACGCGAGTTTCGACAGTCAGACTAACGAGGTTACGAACGATCCGTTTGACCTGGACACTGGGAACCAGAGCCGCGTCGGGGGTTTCCAGAACAACAGCGTTACAACTGTCGCGGAGCCGGTTGAAAAGTTACTCGTCACCACCCCCATAAGCGACAATTACGTAGTCTCACCGATACCATTCTCCCCGTCCATGTTCGTGCACATGGCCACCTACAACTGGAACAAAAAGTCGACGAGCAAGAAGCCCGAGCAGCAGCTCACACCTCCGTTCTTCGACAATCACTTGGAGGCAGTCCGAAAGGCCTCCTCTTCGAGAGTTACTGCTGAGAGTTACTCCAGTACCCCCATGTCCACCACTCTGGATCCATTCTCGGGCAAGAGCTACGGAACGTCGACTCGTGAGAGCTCGCAAAAGAACGCTCGTCACAGGTTGTTAGTCGAGTCGAAGGAACCGAAATCTGGATTCTCGCTGCCGACGTTACGAAGCAGTTACACCAAGTTCCGCGACCTTTACAATCGCATAACGGACGAGCGTGACGTGGAAGCTACGACCACGACAGCGCCCGTCACCGAGTCGACCACGACGAACAGCGTGGACACCACACCCTGCGCGGATGACGATTCTTCCGAGTCTGTGGACCAGAGGGAAGACACGAAGATCGATCTAGAGAACGATCACTGGACTTCGTCACCGGCTGTCACCCACTTGTGGGAGACCTCGGTGTTCGTCGACCCTCAGAGGATCAATCACGACTTGGAGTCGGATCTTGCACCTTCCACCGTTACGACAGGCACGTTCGGGCGCACGCTTGATAGCGGAGAAAGAGAGGAGTACGAGAACACGCCTTCCTTAGGCGAAGACGTGTCGAGCAGCTCGGAGGAATCGTTCGTCAGCGAGGAGGAAGACGCGCCATTCTCGTCGCAGAGACTCTCCAGGGACAAGGACTCGCCTACGACGTTCTCTCTGCTCCCGACGTCGTTCACCTCGTCCACCGTCGACAACGCTATCACGTCAAAGCCGTTGATAACTACTCGCAGCAGTAGTATCACCACGACCATAACGTCCTCCATAACGTCCTCTTCGACGAACTCGGATACACCCGTGGGTTACACTTCGTTGCTACCCTACACGGGCGTAGCTGCGAGTAAATCGAACGGGACTGAAGGCGAGATCGCGGAGAGACTGTTCGGCAAATTGAACGCCTCGAGCACGGACGCGTTGATGAGGGTGATGAAACAGGTGGACAACAACGAGACTGTTCGACAGCTCGTGTTGCTCTTGATACGACACTGCAGGGACCCGGCGAACAACACGCTTCAACGCGAGAGGGAGGAGCTGTTGAACGCGTTGCTTCGACTTCCAGTCAACGAGTTCTCGTCGCAGGAGTCGAGGAACGCGGTGGCCGGGATCAATCAGCTCGGTTTGTCCAATCGCGCGAGCAGTGCCTCCACGACTCCTTCAACACCATTGGTGCTCACCGATCCGCCGGTCACCACGTTCAGGAGTAGAAAGAGCCGGAGATTTCGCACCACCACGGAGAACTCGGCGAGCATCGTCAGACGATCGGAAATGACCGCGACATCCACCGACGAAAATAATCCTCCGCTGGGCGGCGAGACAACGTCCGCGTCCGACAACAGGGCCCTGGAACTTCTCAGATCGTTGTACACGATAGCTACCAAATGGGGGTGAGATCCCCCGGGAAGTTCGGGGCAGATTCAAGTCGCATGGATCGTTTAACGTTTCGACAGGCTCTGAAGATAAATCCCTTTCTCTGCTAACGTGTCTCTTCGAGGAAACGGAAACTTTTATATATATGTATTTCGTGTCAATATGTGTGTAGTTTGTTTCAGATCGGTCGATCGTTCAAGATTATGAATTATTCGATATAGAGTATGATAATTAACTTGATTTGCATGAATCGATTATATCGTATTATGAATTAAGTTTCTTCCTTGCTTTCTTCGGTGTTCATGATCGAGAATGATTTCCGAATGGTTGATTAATTCTTCTAGACAACTGTTCATAATAATTTGTTTTGATTTGATTTGAATGAGTCGATCGTACTGCGAGTCGAGTTTTCCTTTCTTTTCGCTGGCGTTTAATCTTGAACGGTCGATCGATCGTCGACGATCTTTGTCGATTTTTCAATTTGGCTGGGGGCAATTAAATCGAGAGTGGAAGGTTTCTACGGGTGATGGGAGCGTAACACGACGGAAGTATCTTCCTTCTCATTTTTTTTTCTTCTTCCTCTACACGCACACGAAATCTTTTCAAACTTTCAAACGTTAATGGATCGAGCTTTGCCTTGAATTCAAGCCACTTCGATTGATACACGTGCATGATCGGCCCGCAATCAGCGAATATAGAATACACTCTGGCAATGAGTATTTCAACTATTTTCATTTTTTTTAAATTCTGTAATAAAGAAAATATTTCTTCACCCAACGCGAGAGATACCTTCTTGCTCGATCTCTCGATCGGTTTGAATTCAAGCCAGCTGATTAATCTGATCTAGAGGATCGGTGAAACGACTGCCGGTTAATTTCATTGGCAAATGAAATTCTTTGGAACTCGTTCGTCCGGCTGTAAATGAACTACGTACCTACGTATTATATCTTGCAGTTGCATCTGATCGTTAACAGTATTACGTCGCGTCCAAGTACGCTGTATCATAATCGTTGTACATCAACTTCGTTGAATAAATAAGGAGATTCTTCGATCGATTTCTATAATAGAGATTTTAACAGTTTATCTTCGACGAGGAATACTCTGTCTGTACATGAAATGCTGAAATGACTTCTGAAATAGTTTGCGAATATTTCAACTCGTCAAGGGCCGAGATCGGTCCCAATTTATGACTGAAATTCGAATTTTTAATGTAGTATTTCCAAGACAAATTTCTCAACAAGCTCCGTCTTTGACGAGTTGAAATCACTCGAAGGAAAAACTTATATCGTAAACACTTAGATTACTTGGAATCGCTTTGAATCTTGGTGCTGGTGTGTTTCTTTGCGACTGGATACCCTAAAGATACCATAAAGATACGAGGCCCTTGTCAAACCGGTATTCAACCCGTTCACAGTGTTTTCTTTTTTATTTTGCTCTAGAAAAACAATTTTTTTCCCCTTTTTTTGTTCTTTTCGTGTTTTCTACAAAAATACAATCGACATTGTTTTTCACCTTTTCGTTTCAAGAGATCGCCTTAAATCTCAAGATCACTTCATATATATATATATATATATA